CTTATGTGGTGCTGAGGATCCAACTAAGCGCTTTGCACCTGCTAGGGGAGTGCTCTACCTCTGAGCCACAACCCCAGCCCTAGTATTCATGAAATATTGATGACACCTGAAAATAATTTGTAGGTTTTATTTTTCTTACTACACAAGAGCTACTGACCATAAATGACAATTGCAGAAAAGTCATGGTGTAAAGGTAAATTCATAGCTAAACAGTTTAATAAGAAATATTATGAAATTCCCTTCAAAATTTTTATAATAAAAGTCTCTATATATTGTGCTCTGTGGATGCATTTTAATGTGTGGTATGATTAAGAGTGACCGAGAGAGTGCTAAGTTGTAGACTGGCCAGAGACTCGGGTCCCTTCCCCTGCAAACCCTCCCTCTGTGCCTCTGGAACTCCACTCCATGGTAAATCAGCTCCTCTTCCTCCTCCACCTAATTCAGGGTGTTCCTCTCTCTGCCTCAATTTTCCCAGCACCCCCTCCTGGTGGAAACCGGGCCCTCTCCCACACCAGCACTGGAGTGGGAAACAGGCCTACCTGGCTTCCAGACCACTGCAGTCCATTCAAGTGTATAAATCTCTGCTCCTTCAAAAGTCAGGCCACCCCACCTCTGGTAGTTGTCACATAATCACTTTTCTTTATTCACTGAACAGTTTGGTGTGAAGCTGGACATCTGCCTTTCTTCACCCCAAATCCTGACCTCATCCTGGCCTTCCCTTTACAAGACACCGGTGTTCAACTTCATTTCCTTTCCTTTTATCCCGATGGGAGAGGTCCCCACCTTCCCAGCCCATCCCTCCAGCTAAGGGATCCCTGCTGGGCTGCTGTGCCCCTGCCCCAGGAATTCAGTCACTCAGCCCAATATTCCCTCTACTCCAAGCCATCTAGCACACCCTGTCATCATTTTAAAATGCTTTTTCATTGAGAAATAACTCACAAAGCACCCAATTCATCTTTTCAAAGCATACAATCTGGTGGATTTGGGTATATTCATAAGGCTGTGCAACCATCAGCACTATCTAGTCTAGAATATTTTATCACCCCCCCCAAAAGAAACCTCACACCCATTAGCAATCATTTCCCATCTCCTCCTCTCCCCCAGTCCCAGACAACCACTAACCTACTTTCTGTCTGTATGGATTTGCCTACTTTGGACATTTCATATAAATGGAATCATACAGTCTGCTCTTCCTTCACTCTACATACTACTTTCAGGGTTCATCTATGTTGTAGCGTGTATTTGTGCTTCATCCTTTTCATGGCTGAAGGATATTTCATGGTATGGATATACCTTGTTTGTGTCCCTTCCAAGTTTATATGTTGCAGCTCTAACTGTCAGCGTCTTGAGGGCATGATCCCTGCCCCAGTCAGTCCAGAAGGCAGAGCATCAAACCCAACAGCATTACTCTCCACCCTTAAAATCCAATGGCATTTTCCATGCTAGGTTTTACACCTGGTTGGAACCCATCACCCCTTTCTTCCTCTCAGTTCTCCTTTTTGGAATGGAGATGTCTGTCTCAACATTATATTTTTGTAAGCACATAACTCGTTTGCTTTCACAAGCTCACAGCTGGAGGAAAATCTGCCTCAAGATGAATCAATCATACTTCAAGTGTCACCTCGAGTGTCACCCATATCTGATTGATATGAAATTTAGATGACACTTCAACTTTAGAGTTGATGTTGGAACAAATGAAGGCTTTTTATTTTGCATAAAATGCAATATATTTTGCATGCAAAAAGAACATAGATAGCCAAGACATGGAATCAGCCTAGGTGCCCAACAACAGATGAATGGATAAAGAAAATATAGTATATATACACAATGCAGTATTATTCAGACATAGAGAATAAAATTATGCCATTTTTCAGGAAAAATGGATGAAAGTGGAGAACATCGTGTTAAGTGAAATAAGGCAGACTGAGAAAGTATTATATATTTTCTCTCATATGTGAAAACTAGAAAGAAAAAAAGCACAGAAAGTAAAAGAGGGTTAAGGAGGGTGAGAGAGGGAAGGGCTCAAGGACATAGAAGGGAGGATGGACATGATCAAAGCATGAAATGTCTATGCCTGGAAATGTCACAGTGAAACCCATTAATTTATATAATTAATTATAATAAATAAATATAGCTCAGAGGAAAAAACTACAGGAACATTTATTGGAGACAATTTATTGGACAATCTTGGAGGCCAGGAAATGTTATAGATTGAATGTTTATGTCCTCCTCCTGAGATAGGGACTTAAAATAAAGAGAGAATACTGAATCTTAAAGGAAATACCCACAAGCCATTGAGATGCAGAGAGCACAGTGGTATATCTTGGCAAATATGCCTTTGGCTCATACCCTTGTAAAATGAGGGGAACACCCAAGCACAGGGAAAACTGGCATGAAATTGTGCAGGTCCACTCTGGCCCTGCCTTCAGTCTGGCCCCTGAAACAGTCCTTTTATAAATATTGGACCCCCAGCCCAAGGCAGGCTGCTTCTCATTCTCAAGATAGCCCACATTCTCTCTTGAATGTGTATCTACTTTCCTAAATAAACCTCTGTCTATGTCTTTGTTTGGCTCATGCTGAAATTCGAGTATGCCAGGAACCCAGTTGGTCCTGAGGTGAGTTCCCCTCTTTCTCTGGGAACTCCTCAGATCCTTTTCTAGTGACATCTGTTCTCCTGTGTCATTACTAAATTTGTACGCTAAAGTCCTGATCCCCAATGTGATGGCATTAGGGTCTTTGGGAGTTGATTATGTTTTCCACGGATGGAGCCCCTGATGGAATTAGTGCCCTTACAAGAAGAGAAAGAGACACCTAAGTTTTGTCTCTTAATCATGTTAAGAAACAGGGAGCAGGTAAAAATCTGCAAGCCAGCAAGAGGTCTGCACCAGACACCAAATCTGCAGGAAACTTGATCTTGGACTTTCCAGCCTATAGCATCAAGGGGAATATTTGTTGTTTAAGTCCACTAATCTATCTTATTTGCAATACATAATATGTCACCAGTTGATGGACATTCAAATTGTTTCCACTTTTTGATTCATAACCATTAATAATATGGTTATGAGTATGTGTACAAATTTTTGTGTGAACATATGTTTTTATTTTTCCTGTGTATATAACTAGCAGTGGAATTGCTGGGTCATTTGTAACTTGTTTTAAACTTCTGAAGACAGATGGACTTTTTTTTTCTTTGAATGACTACATCATTTTACATTCCTACCAGTAATGTATAAGGGTTCCAATTTCTCCCCATCCTTGCCAACACTTTTCATTGTCTGTCTTGTTGATTAGTCATCCTAGTGGGGGTAAAGTAGTTTCCTTTCGTAGTTTTGATTTGCATCTCACTGATGGCTAATGATGTTGCGAATTGTTTTAGATGCTTATTGGCCATCTATCTGTACATCTTCTTGGGAGAAATGTCTATTCATATCCTTGCCCATTTCCAAATTATCTTTTTATTGTTGAGTTGTCAATCAGCATTTAAAGATGTTCAAGTTTCTACTACTGTAAAGCAAATAAACCCTTGGTCAATTCTGGTTCCCCACTGTGACCAATACTTTAAAATAAAATAAAATAAAAATCCCATTTCTTGCACAATGTCTTGAAAATGTTCCCTACACTTGAGGTTTCCACCCATTCTCTTTTTAAGCTGTTGCAATCTGGCTCCTGAAACTAGCATTTTTGAAATTGTTCTTGGCAAGGTCATGGGTGGCTGTTCTGTTACTTTTGCACTCTTCGCTTGAGTTCACTGTGGCCTTGAACACTAAGATCTTCTTCATCTTTATTTAAAGACTAAAGATACTTGGTTTAAGTGACAGTGTGCTTCTGATTTTTCTCATTCATCTCTGGCTGCTGTTTCTCATTGGGTTTCTCTTACTCTGCTCATTCTTAAATTTTGATCTTCAAGATTTTTGTCTTCATTACCAGGTAATCACTTCATTCCCATGAGCTCAATTACCCCTTAATGCTGCTGACTCTGAAATCTCATCTCCATCTGCTGCCTAGATTTTTTTCCTGAGTTCCCGGTCAGCTAATCAACACAGCTGCTTGGATTCCCATCTATCCTCAAACTTTGTTCCCAACCAAAAGTTTCATGTTTTAAACCTCTCCTGCCTTCTCTATTCAGCGAATAAGATCAATTACTGAATTAAATAAATTTTGAGTCATTCACCTCTGTCTCCTTCTATCCTCACTGCCTATTATGTCCTGATCCAGTACCATTTCTTGAGATGACCACAACGTCCTCCTGATTGGCCTCCCAGTGCCATGCTCTTCTCTGCTGTAGCCAGTGATCTTTCTAACATGCTAATGTTGCCATGTCATTCCTGGGCTTCCATGAGCTATTGTTAGATATAGGACTACATTGGCTTCAGAGTCAGACACTCCAGACTCAACACAATGAATTTTACAGCTGCAAGATCTTGGGAGAGTTATTTCGCTTTTCTATACCTTAGTCTCCTTGTTTTTAAAAACAGTTGGGTCACAAAGAGCACCATCTTATAGGCCTTCCCAAAGACTGGTTCAGCCTGGTATATTTTAAATGCTCAATCCATGTTAACTATTAATATTTTTATTAAAACCTTATTAAAAAGGTTTGTCTCCATGCAAACCATTTAATTCCACTCTCAGCCTCAAATGTGGGAATAAATAGGATGATTTTAATAAACTCTTCTAAGACAAGACTCTTTTGGGACACAGAAGCTTGGTCATCAATTGCAGCTCCTCTCAGTGCTGGACATTCGGCTGCAGTGTCCAGAAAAAGTATTCTGAGGAGGAGACAGCAGCGAGAGCTGGAGGACGCAGAGGTTCGGGTTCAAAGAATCCTGCAGCTGCAGGAAAGCGCTGGCCGCCTGCTTCTTCCCCGCCTCCACCCGCGACCTGTTACCCCGGCGACAGTCACCACCGCCCAGCTCACCTGACCTGCAACCATAAGTGCAGAAAGCCTTTCCAGCAAAGCAGACAAGCAAACCACAAACCCACAGGACGAGCCTCAGCCCCACCTCTTTCTTCCTGGCGGACAGCCAGGGGCGAGGGGCAGCGCCCCACCCCACCTGCGGGCCGAGCGGCGGCGGCTCTGGAGGGCACGGGGTGCTGGCTCCGCCTCGGTGGGGTCGGCCGCTGGGTCGGAGCTCCCCCTCCCGGAGCCCGCGTCGCTCACCTTGAAGGACATCTTGCACATGTCCGCGACCGGCAAGAGCCCGAGCGCTGGGGCGCCGGGATCTCCCCGTCCTTCCCCTCTCCCTCCGCGATCCGCAGAGGGGCGGCCCCCACGGCGCCGCGCGCTCCCGCCACAGGGCCGGACTGCCGCGGCCGCACACTGAGCCGCCCCGGCGGGCGGGTGCTCGGGCCGCGGAGGGCGGGGAGGCAGCGCGCCTCGGCCGCCCGTCCTGGGCCCTGCGGAGTGCTCCGCTCGCGCGCGCGCGCGCACTGCGCACAGGATGCCGCGTTGCACACTCCACGCTGCGCGTGCACACACGGCCGCATATTCCAAACTCAGAGGGCACTATGCATACTTTCCGCACTCTGGACACACGACACCCTCACACTCATGTCCATACACCCACACTTACACACACACCCCATACTCTCCCAACTCCACACACTGTGTAGTCCCCATGTTCCACACACCTAGGGTCACACACAACTCCACACTCATGTTCACACACCCACATTCCTTACACGCCCACACCCTATTCATAAGGGCAAGCTCTGCACACACCCAAGTTCCACACATAAAGCTCTCCACACTCAGGTTTACACACTCATACACATCTGCAGTCTGACACACACACATACCCAATACTTTCCAAACTCCACGTACATTGTGCACATTCTGTGTATCCCACACAGACGGTTTCACACACACAACATTCTCCACATCACATTGCACATATACAGCCCTTACACAATGTCTGTCTGTCTGTCTCTCTCTCTTTCACGCACACACACACACACACACACGCACACTGGAAAAGAGCCTGATGATGCTTCCATCTTCATTAAAATACAAATATTATAATGATGTAAATGAAGCATGAGAAAAAAATTTCACTTGTCATCCCACCGCTATTTCAAATAGTTATTTTCATTTTAATTTTTGTCTTAGTGTTTTCTCTTTTCTAAATTTCTAAGAAGCCGATTTTTTTTTCTTGTGGGGAAAAGACCTGGGAAACAAGTCTGGTTTTGTTTTTGAAACACCATCTTGCTATGTTTCTCAGGCTGCTCTGGAACTCCTGGGCTCGAGCAATCCTCCAGTTGCAGTCTCCCCAGCAGCTGGGATTACAGGAGCATACCACCAGGGAATAAGCCTTCAATGTTTCAATATCATTTTGGAGTACTGAAGGGCAGTTCATTTCCTAAGCCATACCTCTGGCTGCTCAGGGTTGGTCATTGCAGGAATTAACAATGGGAGGGTCATGTATGTTTTGCTCAAAAATTTAAGTATAGAAGGCAATAATAAGCCTTTTAAGGAAACTCAAATGCTAAGGTGAAAAAGTGAGTGTCTTATCTCCTCAAGCTATAGGAATCCACTTAGTTATTATCTCACTCACCTGTTTGTGCCTCCTACTTCCTAGCTGATTTTGGAAGAAGTATTTAACATAAAAGTTAAAAAAATACTCATGAAAATTGAAGGAGAAAAGGAATGGGAAGGGTAGGAAGAAGAGAGGGAAAGGGAAAATACTGGAGAATGATATTGGCCAAATAATATTGTTTTGTTGTGTGCATGCACAGATATATAACAACAGATTCTACCATTATGTACAACTATAATGCATCAATAAAATATGTAAATTTAAAAATACTTATGAAGATAAAAAAGTTTTAAAAATATGACAAATAAAACTTAATAATGAAAATGCAATGTTTATCCCCTAAATCCTATTACTTTGTGTTTAAAGCAATTTTTAAATAAAACATCCTGAACTTTTGTGGAAAAGTTCAAATTTTAAGTCAAGAAAGACTCAAAACTTTTCCTTTGGGTATCTATAGACAAGACAATTTTTAAGTTGTCATAAAACAATGTTACATAAGACCAAGCATCCGAGGTTTTACTTTAGTAGTTTTGGTAAACAAAAGGAAGAAGGGAAAGAACTAATATTTTGAGTGCTTTCTAGGTATCAGCTTTGTTTTTTATGAAAATCCTACAAGGTGAGTATTATACCCATTCCACAGATAAAAAGACTAAGGTTCTGAGAGATGGAGTAATTTACTAATGACAGATGAACTTAGACCTTTAATTAATTCTATCTGACTTCAAAGCCCTTTTCCTTTCTACTACCACACTTGTGCTCAGAGTTGTTTTTGGCAGAGTCTCTGGCCAGGTTGCTGATAGGATTCTTGTCAGTCTCTGGAAAGACTGTGCCTAATCCACAGGCCCACACAACTGGCTGATGGGATTCTTGCCAGTCTCCAGGTGCCTAATACACCATCCCACAAACCCGGCTAAGCCTATCTAAATCAAAACAGCCCCTGAACAGAACAAAACCTTCTTGGTCACAACTAGGCCACTCTTTCTAAAATGGCTCACTCTTCCAAAATTTAGCAGTGACCACTGGGCCTAACAGGAAAGGAAATTTAAATGATCTACTTTCCACATTCAAATAATTCCTCCCACCTCCAGAGAGAGCCTCTCCCTCATCCTTTCCATATTATCTGCTCTCTCACTCCTAATGGCTCTCACCTCTCTCCTCTCTTCTGTCTGCCCTAAGTCAAATCCAGACCTACCCAGGGTACTAATCCACAGATGGAGCTCTCCTTTCTCCCCTCCACCCTCCCATCTCTCTCCAACTAAGCCAAGCTCCTGCCATAGACCACCCTGTACCACATCCCTCAGCCCTTGATCCCAAAGGGTCTGATCTTGATTTCAATTTTCTTTCCCTTATTTTTTTTTAGGTGGGGGATGGCATGCTCAGTGATTGAACTCAGGGGCATTCGACCACTGAGCCACATCCCCAACCCTATTTTGTATTTTATTTAGAGACAGGGTCTCACTGAGTGCCTTAGTGCCTCGCTTTTTGCTGAGGCTAGGTTTGAACTTGCAATCCTCCTGTCTCAGCCTCCTCAGCCACTGGGATTACAGACATGCACCGCTGTGCCTGGCTACCTTCCCTTACTTTTGATTCCTCTAGCAGAGTTCAAATTTGTCAAGGCCAGACCCTGCACCTTTCGTGTCTTTTATTTTCTTGAGGGTCTAGTTTCCAGTTGGAGATATGGTAGTGGTCAAAACTTAAGAACTGCTGATTCAGTCAAAGACTGTGCTGTCCACTTCTACACAGTCAGAAGGTCCACCACCTCTGTCCACAGACTCATACTACTGCTCAAATGCATGGGCATCTGTGTTCATCTCAAATGAGGCCATGGTCATTATTACCTTCTGTTCACACTAGCACAGACCATAATGTGTTTGGCCTCAATTTTGCACTGTCCCAGTTAAGGCAGACCTTGCTTTACCCAGAATTCTGAAGCAGGTCAAGCTGGTCTCCTGAGCCCTTCAACTACCTTTATCCCAACTCAGAGTCCACCCTGGAATCTTATCTGTCTACATTCTGTGTCCACTTTCCCACCCCACATCTCTCAGTCTCTCCTTACCTGTTGGACTTTACCCTAGAGGAGGCTTCCTGCAGCAGAGAGAGCCAGTGTTGAGTAAGGACCCTATGTCCATTGCTCCTTTCCTTCTCTCTATCCAAATGCCAGTTTTGTCAGGTATCTACCATACTTTGCAAAGCTGGCATTATGGAGATGTGTTTAAGAGGGTTGAAGGTGTCTGTGCCCCAAAGTTCATGTGTTGGAAACTTAATCTTCAAATTCATATGTTAATGGTATTTGGAGGTGAGATCTTTGGGAGGTAATTAGGATCAGATGAGGTCATGAGGGGGAGTCCCCATGATGGCATTAATATCATTATAAGAAGAGGAAGAAGGACCTGGGTTGGCACACTTGCCCTATCTTGCTGTACAATGCCCCCTGCCACATTATGATGCAGCAAAAAAGCCCTCCCCAGATATTGAGCAGGTGTTGGTTCTATGCTCTTGGATTTTCCAGCCTCCAGAAGTATGAGTTAAATAAATTTCTATTTTTTACAAATTACTTGATCTTGGGTATTTTGTTATAGCAACAGAAAGCAGACTAAAAGGGGAGAACAGCAGTCTCTTGTTCTGTCCGAAAGTCTGTTGTCTAGGCTGGTGACAGTGCCTGGATTAGGTGTGGGCATCTGACAAATTATGCTTTCTGAGACATGAAAGGAGGTGTTCTTGGAGCTTCTGAGAAAAGTTTCCTTGCTTTTCAGATAAACTCAGGCCCTTTGTGGATCAACAATGCGTGGTTTTGCTGCAACCATTTTGTGACCAAGAGGGAAACTATGATGGCAGAGCAGATAGATGATGTCACTAAGGCCCTGTGTTGTCCAACCCCTGGATATCTTGTTTAAGCCACTTGAAGTTTGTTTCTTTCTTAGTTGCCATTGGAAGTATTCTGATACAGGGTGAGAATGGCTGAACAAAGAACTGGGAACTTAATCCATGTGGACTAAGGTCCACTATGTACTAACATTTGAATGTGTCCCTGAATTTCATTCTCATTCCAACCCTATGTAAAAGCTATTACTGATGATGAAGCAGACTCATAGTGGGTAAGAAACTTGTTTGTGACCACAGGGATTTGAACCCAGGCTAATCCAAGGGTGCCCCTGCACCCCCTACTGTGCTGTCTCACCAGCTTTGTTAAAAACATTTGTTGAATAAATATCAAAATGAACTTACCCATTCTGCATTTTGCTGAGAGCCGTAGCCAAGTAGGAATGACGCATGGCAATTTCTTTGTCAGCCTACCCAATGTTGCTTAGAGGGAGGACTCTCCATTGTGGAAATGGGCTTGCCTTGGACCCAGGTCATTTGCAGTGACATTGCATGAATGTTTGAGAGTTTTGGTTGAAAGGTGACCCTGCTCAGGGATTAGGGTGGATCCGGCTTTAGGGTGGATCCTGCTGGGAATAGGGTGGTTCCAGGTTTAAGGTGGATCCTGCTGGGAATAGGGCGTATCCTGCTGCCTCAGGCGCCCACCTGCTCCTTGAGTTCCCGTTGAGTTCTCGAAGGATTCAGAGGGTATTTGGTACACAGAGCCTGGTGGAGGGTGTATTTTTCCCAGAACGTGC